CCCCGCCGGGATTCCCCTTCGGAGGGGGCATTCGCCTGGAAGCCATTCGGACACCCCCTACCCTGTCCCCGCTGCCGCTGAGAGCCTTCCGAGCTCTCAAAGGGCTTTCTCCAATGTGTGGTGGGGAAGCCCTTTGAGAGCTCGGAAGGCAAATGTCGGCGGTGGCTTTGGGATCCATCCAAAGCCACCGCCGACTGCCGATATTTTCCCCCAGCTGAGCGGCGGGGCTTTGAAGCTCCCGCCACTCAGCTGGGGGAAAATGCCTGCGGTGGCCTCGGAAGGACCTCGGATCTGAGCCGCGGTGCCTGCCGAGGAGTCCGGCTATGCCTCCCACCCCCCCACCTCCTGCGGCTTGAGAAGGGTGGGAGGCATGGCCGACTGTGCTTGTAGCACCGGGCACCTCTTCCGCTGCTGCAAGCACAGTCAGGGCAGCCCTTTGGGAGAAGCCAGGTGGTGGGGGAGAAGGCAGGAGCCGATGCCGTCTTCCCCCCTCCTCCGAGGCTTCTCCCAAAGGGCTGCGCCCGATAGTGGGGGAGAAAACCGGATAATCTGTTCCTATTGGAACGGATTATCCGGTTTTCAGTGCATCTCTATGGGAAAACGCGTTTCACTTAACAATGTTTTCCCATAGCGATGTTTTTTTTGGAACCAATTAACCTAGCTGTGCGAGGCACCGCTGTATATTGGTAGGTTTGGAAAGACAGTTTAGTTGAGGCTTAGCTGATTTAGCCAGTTTTATTAGCTAGAGTATGATAAATATGGAAAAGTGGCAGATTCTGAGGAGGAGGAGGAATAATTGAGAGAAACAGAACATTTGTAAGCTGTTAGCAAGAAGAGGAAATGTCGTGATTAGAGATGGAACCAGCCCAGTCCACTCACTGGGCTTTGTGTGGTGTGCATGTCCATCATTAATAACATTGTGCCGATAGCAGAAGTAGCTTGGTTGGCCCTCCACTGTCTCCCTGCTGCGATGCTGACCACTCAGCAGCTGAGCGGGGAGACTTGTCATCCTGCCTCCTTGCTGGAGTGGTCAGTAACACAGAGAGGTGGAGGAGCACTGGCCAGGCTAATCTAGCAATCGGCGCAGTGTTACCGACAGAGGATGCCCGTGTCACATGAAGCCTGGTGAGTGGAATAGGGTGGTTTCTGAGAGGAGGGAATGGATCTCTGTAGCACCTGTGGTGCTGCACTTTGTATTTCTATCCCCAGGGATAGGAATACAAAGCTCCGATGTCTAGTTCTGATGCTGTTTTTCACTTGACAGTAACTTGGAACTCAGGGAAGATGCTGTGTGTGCCTGTCTTGGGCATCACCACACGTAATGGCTAATGCATAGCAAAGATAGTGTTTCCCAATATCTGAAATTATCTGACTTAACAGCACTACATTCTCTATTAAAAGAAGTGTTATTATGAAATGAGGCTGATGAAAAGCCATGTACAGCCACTGCTTTACTGTGGAAACCTGACTTTTGACTAGTATAAGTATGTTATGAACTATTGACTTGCTAGTGCATTTTGCCATTTTTATTGATAGAACCAACAGTGCGAGCTGAACTGATGGAACAGGTGCCTCATATTGCTATGTTTTGTCAAGAAAATAGGCCTTCAATCCCTTACGCTTTTTCAAAGTATTTGTTACCCATTGTGGTAAGGTACCTTGCCGACCAGAATAACCAGGTGAGAATCCCTTGAAACGTATTAAATAATTATAGAATCATATGCAGATTTTACATGTGTTGTTAACTTTTGTAAGTACTATCAATTAGCACTATCCTAATATTTTATACAAATTATCTAGGCAACATTGTCAACAGAAATTAGAATAGTCACTTTTTTAGATTACAACTCCCAGCGTAGTCTAGCCATCATACTTGGTGGCCATACTGACTGGGCTATCTTTCTTGTAGTCTGAAAAAGTATCTCTTCCCATCTGTGGCAATGGTTGTTCCTGATGCTTTGACATGTCAGAGACATGCTTCGCCTGTTAAAGAGCTTATAGCTCAAAATGTGATAATGTAGAAGAACAAAGAGGATGAATGAGGATAAGGCATTTAAATACTGACTAAGATGGTGTGCCAACAATTTTGTGGAAAAGGTGCATTTGGTTACAAAATTTGAAGAAAATGTCAGACATTTTTCCAAAAATAAGCATGTAACTTTGTAAATGCACAATTTCCTGTACAAATACCACTTATTCCCTAGATAAATGTATGCCATGAGGTTAAAGTATTTAACTTCAATAGTGCATTGGAGTTGCCACTTTATTGTTTGTATTTATATGTATTTGTCCAGTGGGTGAAAAACATGAAGATGAGGTCTGGGGTGTGTGAAACGTACCGTCAGCAATTATTGCACCAGGCAGTGTGCGGGCAAAGTTCTCATCAGTTCCTTCCTTCCTCCTCCCACCACCAGGAGTCATGCAATTTACTCAATACAGTATAGTCAATTTACTCAAAACATTTGTTGAAGGAGAAGTAATATCTCTGGGTAGTTGCTTCACTGCTGCTTGAGTAGAGTATCTGATTGCTGCCTTGTGTGTCTCATTTGCCTTTTTCTTTCTACTGTGAATGGCAAAGTGCTGCAGAAATAGAAGCCAGAAGCAGACATTTTAAAAAAAGTGTGAAATGGGGATAGTTTAGGTCCTGTTTGTAAAGCCGTTGTGACCCACTTTCTCATTCACATGAGAAACTCAAGATACCCATGCTACATTCATACACACAGGCACTTTATCAGTTACTTTGTAAAGTGTAATGCAAAGTGAGAACAAAAGAAGAAATTCTCTAATGTACATCTACCCTTCTGAAAATGAATGTGATGCAAGTAGCAGTCTCTAATGAACTTTGACACCCTTCCTTTGCCCTGTCAAGACACAAAGAGGGCACAGAAACAAGGACACGGAAATTTATATGGTCTGTTTGAGTCCTTTGAGGAACTATGATTGGAGTTTCCAGGAGACCTTCAGCTTTCCATTGGTGCTTGAGCTGTCAGTCTCTTCCTTCTTTGGGCTTCCTGCTTCTGTCAAAGTATTACCTTATTTTTTCAAGTGATACTTACTGACCCCAGGTCTTAAGGTAATACTTTAACAGAATTTTCAGGTTTTTCAGCTTTATTTAATCTCTGAAGCACCAAAGCAATATTTGATGCTTTGAAGAGCTCTAGTTCAATTCAATGCCTGTAATGCCTCAATAGAGGTGTTTGTTTTTGTTTGTTTGTTTGTTTGTTTTTTGTGGCAAGCTACAAATCCTGAGGCTGGGAGTTCAAATCCCTACTGTGCCTTCCCTTGTGCAAGCTGCACTGTTCTGGAGCACCACTAGAAAGAGGAATAGTGCCACTTCTGATTACTTTATACCTAGAAAACTCAGTGGAGATAACAAGAGATCACTGGAAATGACTTGATAACTTATCATTTTATTTTTATTAGATACTTCAGGGCTTTTGCACACTGTGATACAAAGCAAATATTACATAGCAGCAGTTATATAAATAATGTGGTGTTAATGTAAATAATATTGAATATGACAGGTTTTTGTAATGGCACCAACAAAGTATGCTGTTGAATTAATAAATGTAAAACAGTGCAGTGTTTTGGTAGTGTTGCATACATCTTAATTCTGGGTTTGTCTTTTCAAAAGAGAGATTAATTTGGTGAGGTTGTTCCTTAATTGATAAATACAGGATTGCATTCTGAAATTAAATTGTTGGAACATGGTGTGTCAGAGTTTACTTCCTGCTGTCTCACGAAGGCAGAGGTTCTTGTTCTAATATATTCAGTTTTCTTCCCCCTTGCCTTTATATGCTTTCTAAAACCATAGGTGCGAAAAACAAGCCAGGCAGCATTACTTGTTCTGTTAGAGCAAGAACTTATTGAGCGATACGATGTGGAGACCAAAGTATGTCCAGTCCTCATAGAACTGACTGCTCCAGACAGCAATGATGACGTGAAGACAGAGGCTGTGGCAGTAAGTAGGAAGATAAATTTACATTGTATACTTCAGCAATGGCGAACCTATGACACGTGTGCCACAGCTGGCATGTGGAGCCCTTTCTGCTGGCACACGAGCCATAAGTCACCAGATCACTACTCTTCCCCCCCCCCCGCACAGCCAAACCTGAGAAGGCAGCTGCAGCCACGGTGCTGGCGCTTTGGCAGGCGGATCTGGAGCAGCTAGTGCTGGCAGCGGATCCAGAGTGGGGCCTCGAGGCAACTCCGTGCCAGGATTCCCCCTTCCACTGCTACTTCTGGTTCCGCCACCGCCACTTCTGGTTCTTCCACTACTGCTGGCGCGACATGCTGACTACTGTTTTTTTTCCCAGTTTGGGCATGCGAGCCCAAAAAAAGTTCGCCACCACTGGTATAGGTCTTCAAAGATTTCCTGCATTTATTGCACATTAAGTGTAGTTGCTTGCCTAGAGATTATGAGTGTACATTTTTTACTATGAGTGCCACATTTGGATGTGGCATGGAGTACAGATATATGCGTGCCCACAGCTCTGCTCCATCCCAGTATGTATGAGGATGCATACAATCATCTATGCAATCTTCTGTGCACTCCTATGTAGCTCAGAATATTCCTACTCTCCACAGAGCTTATTTACCCATTACTGGTAAACTGATCTCAGAAGAAAGGGGACAGTGTTTTTTTGTCCTGATGAGGAAGAATCAGAGGAGTCCTGCCCAGGTGTAGAAGCTATAAAATGGAGAGCTGAGGGCCACAAGTCCTAGAGTGTCCTTTGCCACAATAAGTAACATACAAAGATTTTTTTAAAAATCTGTTATAGTTAGAGGGGCACAGATATTTCAGATTTAAGATGGAAAAATGAAATGCTTGTTTGTTTTTAAAGCATCCATTTATATCTATAAGTGTCCATTAGATATCCTTGTGAACTTTAAAAAGTAAGGCAGACATGTTTATATATAATTGAGATTTTTTTAGAAAATGTTTTTATATTTTGTTTTGCCACTCGCAATTTATCGTTCATTGCCTTGTTTTAATTTTAATTGTATAGTTTTTTAATAATGCTGTATGTTTAGACTAACAAAAGTACTCTTTAGCTGCCATTTCCCATTAGCTTTAAATTGATAATAGCATTTTATTCTAGTGCACATGCGATGTAGGAGGAAAGAATAATTAAACATTTTGTGTCATATGTTTTCATAGCTTGTTTTCTTATGAGTGCTGTTTGATTTGAGAGATAGTGGCCTTTTTTTGGTAATCTTACGAATGCTGACCTACTAGATATATTGCTAATTAATGTTTCCTTATAATTAGATCATGTGCAAGATGGCATCTATGGTAGGAAGGGACATCACAGAAAGGCTCATTCTTCCTAGATTCTGCGAGATGTGCTGTGACTGCAGAATGTTTCATGTCCGTAAGGTATGATCATTTTTCTTCATAAGTCACTGCTGTTATTTTCACTTACAATTGCTTAACTGTGAACACCTATGATAGCTGGAGATCACAGATAATAATTTTGCCATGTATATAGCGTAATACACCTAAAGTTACAAATACAGTCGTGCCCCACTTAACGATTACCCTGTATAATGACGAATCCGCTTCACAACGATGTTTTTGTGATCGCAATTTTTGAGTTACAGACTTCTCTGGCCGTAAAATTTAGGTTTGACTTGCAGCCTGAGTATTGACTTACAGACCAGAAAAAAAACCAAAATGGAACAAAAACGGCATGTTAGGGGATTAATCGGTTTTCAATGCACTGTAGGTCAATGGAGACTTGACCTACAGACTTTTTGACTTGAGAACCGCCTTGCAATACGGATTAAGTTCTCAAGTCAAGACCCCACTGTAACGTTGCCAAGCGAGGCACCACTGTAAACTATTTCTGCCAGAATTCACCAGGGCGAATCAGTTGCTGACACCTGGCCTGAATATGTATGTATGGTCATCAGTGACCATCCTGGGCTTCTTGCAGATAGTTAGAATTTATTTGCTTATGTTCATAGTTCTGGAGACATGGTAGAAAAGAAGGATTTGTAAGCCATGATGTAAATGAAAAGCTGCATGAAATGCAGGTGTTGCCAAGACTCAAGTGTGTATGAGGAGGTTTGAGGAATGCTTACTAAATTTGCGGATGACACAAGATTAGGTGGAATACCTAATACTCTGGAATACAGAAGCAAAATTCAAAATGATATTGATAGGCTTGAGCATTGGTCTGTTATCAACAGAATGAAATTTAACTGCAAAGTTTTGCAGCGTGGAAAAAGAAAACAAACACACAGCTGCAAAATAGTTGATAGTAGTGGTCCAAGTCATGTGAAGTACTGGTTTCCCCTCTGTTCAGTAATGGTTAGGCCTCATGAGTACTCTAAGAAAGATGTCAGCAAACTGGAACAAGTTCATAGGAGAGCAATGAGGATGGTCGGGGGAATGGAAATGAAGCTGCACAAGGAAAGACTAAAAGAAGTGTGCAAGTTTAGCCTTGTGAAAGGAGGACTGAGGGGAGATATGATAGCACTCTTTCAAATACAGTGGTGCCTCGACTTACAATCACAATCCGTTCAAGAAGATGGGCGTAAGGCTAAATGGTCGTAAGCCGAAGCACCATTTCCCATAGAAATACATTGAAACCCCATTAATCCATTCTGGCCGGAAAAATTAAATAAAAATTAAAAAAAAAAACACACAACACTGCAAGCCCCATAGGAATGCACTGGGGCTGAAAAACACACACACCAAAACAAACAAACAAACAAACCACAGCTAGCCCCAGCAGAATGTTATGGGGCTGGGGAAACACACACACCCCCCACACACACAGCCGGCCCCAGCGGAACACCATGGAGCTGGGGGGGGAAACACACACACACAGCCAGCCCCAGCGGAACGCCATGGGGCTAGGGAAAAAAAACCAAAAAACCCTGCACATACAGCCAGCCCCAGCGGAACACCATGGGGCTGGAGGGGGGAAAAGACAACACCCCCCCCACACACACACACAGCCAGCCCCAGCGGAACGCCATGGGGCTAGGGAAAACAAAACAAAACAAAAAACCCTGCACATACAGCCAGCCCCAGCGGAACGCCATGGGGCTGGGGGGAAAAAAGACAACACCCCCCCCACACACACACACAGCCAGCCCCAGCGGAACGCCATGGGGCTGTGGGAAAAAAGACAAAACCTCACACACACAGCCAGCCTGAACGCGATAGGGCGGGGGGAAAAACACCGAAACATAAAAAAGTCACAGCACAGAAACATAACCCAAACCCACCCTGCAAAATAAAATAAAATGTACTTACTCAGGAGCAGAAAGCAGCACCAAGCAGTCCAAAGTCTCCTCTGACTGCACTCACTCTAACGGTTGGGGCGAAAGAGCTACAAAGAAGCAGCCTCTTCGCCTACCAACAGTTAGCAAATTTGAATTCCCTGCCTTTTTCCTGGCACAGCTCAAAGCTCCGGCCACAAGTCAAAGCAAAACTTTGCGGCTGGAGCTGGTCACAACTCAAAATGGTCGTAAGTCAGGATGTTCATAAGTTGGGAGGCACCACTGTATTGGAACGATTGTCATACAGAGGAGGGGTAGATCTGTTCTTACTCATTCCAGATTGCAGGACGTGTGATAATGGGTTCGAGTTACAGAAAGTCAGATTTCAGTTGAGTACTGTATCAGGAAAAACTTCCTAACTATTAAAGCAGTATGACAATGGAACCAGTTACCTTGGGAGGTGGTCAGTGCTTGAGTACGAGAGGCATTCAAGAGAAAGTTAGATAGCCATATGTCAGATGCACTTTGATTTTTATTTCTGCATTGAGCAGGGGGTTGGACTCAATGGCCAACTCCATTCTATGATTCTATAGACATGATGCCTTTCCCCCTCAAGGATAGGGCATTTTTGCTGATGAGCATACACAGTAGTTACATTGTGCAGTCAAACAGTAGTAAAAATACAGCATTTATTTATTTGACCTATCACAAAGAATCGTTTTATGAAATATGTGACAGTACTTCACTAGTCAGCATTCTGTCCTAACCAGCCTTTTTTCAACAGAAGGCAAAGTTCTAAAATTTTGCTATTAGAATAAGAAAATAACTATTACCCTGTTCAGATCAATAGGACTTTTTTCATTCACTTCTACTACTGATTAAGAGAGCACTTTGTATAACCTGAATATTCACTTTCCAACCATTTCCTTTAGTTGCAATTTGCGTATATCAAATTATATTTGTATTATTTCAAAACATACTGTATCCTACTTTTCAAATTGGTTTCCTTTTAAGATGAAATCTAACCTCTAATCCAGTACAGTAGATGTGAAGTTCATTGCAATGGACAGTATGGAGAGCACTTGAATACATGTGTTGGTTTACTCTGTGCATTCATTTGCAATTCGGTTAAGTATATGTCTTTATATCAATGTGTATATATACATATTTTAGGTATGTGCAGCCAACTTTGGTGATATCTGTAGTGTTGTTGGACGACAAGCTACAGAAGAAATGCTGGTAAGTCAAAATTCTAAACTAAGCTTTAATAGGCTGCTTCCCAGTAATTATAAGTCCTTCTTTAAACTCATTGGGACATCTGTACATCGAAAAGTACTGTATTTTGGTAATGGTCTTTAGTCCTGTGACACTCAAATACCAATCAAATGAAAAATATAGGACTGGTCACAGTGATGCTCGTGATATCATGGTTTTCTGCTTTTGTTTATGCCTAAGTGTCTTGCAAAATATGTTGTGTATCATATAAGTGGGTGCTAGATCAAATCAAGCCTGAACTGTCTCTAGAAGCAGAAATGATTAAATTGAGGGTATAATACTATGGGTGTATCATAAGAAGACAAGACTGACTGGAAAAGACAATTATGATAGGCTAAGTTGAAGACAACAGAAAAAGAAAACAATGAAATATGAGATCCATGGGCTCAATAAAGAAATCTGTGGCTTGAGTTTCCAAGATCTGAGCATGGCTACCAATGATAGAACCTTTTGGAGGTCACCAATTAATAGAGCTGCCATACGTTAGAAACAACTTGATACAATTAAATCGCATATCATAGTTGAGATAATTGGGATTGGTTCATAATCAAACAGTTTGTTATTGATTGAGGTGCCATATAGTTTCTTGAATAATACCATTGTTCAGTGTATTCACAGAAATATGCATTATGTTGATACTTCTTGAGATCTGTTTTTCCCCTCCTCAATACCTCCTAAAATTTCAAAATAGGCAGCTCAATTCTGTGCATATCTTGTCCAAAGTACTGTGCAGTTCTTTATTCACTTACCTGGGAACAAATCTTAGTTTAGTCAGACTTCTGTGTAGACAATTCTAGGTTGCACTGTTAAATACATTTTTCTTATGAAGCAGTCATATGATCCTAAACATGCACATGTTTTTTATTTGGATGGGCAGTATTTAAAATATGCTGAATAATTGATGATAATTGATATGTCAAATGCAAACCTGATACATATACCTGATACATGTAATAGCTTATTTTCTTGGAATATTGTATTAATCATGAGGGAAACAGATTTCCTCTCTGAAGGCATTGTTCTTGCCAACATGCCATAGTTATTTCAGAGGTGGTTTATTCCCATTTCCAGAAGTGACATCAATGATAGTTAAAGGCAGCAATGTATACACTTATTTCAGTTATGCCATGCAATTTTCACAGAAATGGGACTCAGAGTGGCTGATTAATGAGAATAATCAGAGAGGTGGGAAGTAAGTCATTGGTTAGAAAAAGTTTTCATTTATTTGATATACTCAGTGTTTTGCCTTATAATATCTTGTTAGTTTATCAGAAATTAGATCAAGGTAACAACACAGAACTATTCTTAAAGCTGCTAACAATTTTATGTTCTTCAGCTACCCAGGTTTTTCCAGCTTTGTTCTGATAATGTGTGGGGTGTGCGGAAAGCTTGTGCTGAATGTTTTATGGCTGTTTCATGTGCCACATCACAGGAGGTCCGACGGACAAAATTATCTACACTTTTTATTAACCTTATTAGTGACCCTTCACGATGGGTAAGATGTCAGTTTTTAAATTCCCATTCTCCTTCAATAGGTTGATGGTTAGATAATTTTATTATTCAGAGAGCATTTAAGCATTGATCTCCTAGTATGGTATAGTGGATTGAGTTATGGACTAGGACTCAGGTGGCCTGAGTTTGAATCCCCACTCAGCCAGGGAAACTCAATGGGAGTGTGGAACTGGGAAAACCACTCCTTAAACCTTGAAAGCCCTATTAGGGTCACTACAAGTTGGCTCTGACTTGATGGCACATAACAACATAGCATTTAAACATTAGTCTGAGTCTTGATAATACTATTAACATGAGCAAGGGTCATGTATATATCCAAAAATCTCCATCTCCTCTGGTCTTTGCGAACATTTTGCAGAAAATAGGTTGGACTGCTAAACTGCACTTAATACCATCTCACATGCATTGGAGGAGGCAGATGAGGAAGAGATATTTGCTGATTCTTCCCCTATCTTGTGCCTCTGGAGATTTGGAGGGAACCTCAATAGCATGACAGTAGCATTGTGGGAACTGGGAGTTGTCTATCCCCCTTATGTAGAGTTCGGAGTTTCTACCTGAACCTGGTGCTTGTATTAAATACAAGGAGCCAGTCTCAATATTGTTTAATTTATTTTTAGTGATGTGTGCTAGCCATCTTGAGCACTATTATTTTAGCATAAAGATGAGGAACAATGTCATAATAATCTGTGTACAGAATAACCAATCATGATACAACTGATTGATGATACAGTGTCAACTATATCTCTAACAATGGGATCTAGATTTGTACTGATTTCCATTTCATATTCTGTCCATATGGGTGCTCAGATGGCTCTTGACACTAAACCTGGGTTTCCAACAATGACTGCAGTTTCTAAAATTTTAAAGCAACTGTACCTCTGAAACGTTTATCTCTGTACTGTTTAGGAGTAAGTATTTCAAACAAGAAATAGCACTCTTATTGAACCAAAAGTAAAATTGGGGCATGAGAGTAAATGTAATGGAACATAAGTGTTGCAGTAGACAGAGTTTGAGATAGTTTGACAAGGAGACATAATATTGAAAAGGTTTTAAAATGCAGGTGTTTGGATTGCTGCTCTTGACAATTTGGCATGTGACTTACTTCCCTATTTATCACTTAGTTTTTCCTTTAACTTTTAAAGCATGTATTATTATTTTTTGTAATTTACATATGACTTGTTTAGTTATGAGAGTAAGTGTAAATTCAGATTCTTCAGTAGAATAGTTTCATTGAGATAAGACAATATGAGTGATGCTCTCACTAGAGTTGATAGATGGTCTCCTAGCAACAGTTAAATATATTACTGTTTTTACAATGTGTGGTGTGCTTCCCAACCATACACCACTCTCTTTTTAATATAGTACCTTATTCTTGAGGCAGATAGTATAGTTTATTTCTAAGTTCCATTTATTCCCAGAGGCAAGATCTAGGAACTTGCAATCTTTCGGCCCTGACAGCTGGATTGTTCATTACTAGCAGCTATATTTAAAAAAACTCTCTGGAACACCTTACTCTAGGTCCGCCAAGCTGCCTTCCAGTCCCTGGGGCCTTTTATATCGACGTTTGCTAACCCATCCAGCAGTGGTCAGTTTTTTAAAGAAGAAGAATGTAGAAACTCTGAGGATCAGAACTTTCCAGAGGAACAAAGGTATAGATGGATGAAAGTGAAATTATTAAAATCTCTTGATTTTGTTTTACCTTTGTCTGCTCCTGCTTGTGTGTTCTACCATTTGTCCGAAGTTCTGAGGGCTAGTAGTAAAAACGTATCACCTCTTTTCTCAGACTTTCTAATAATTGGGGTGTATTGGGTTATAATTGTACCAAATTTATATTTACTGTGGAAGTAGTGGGTTGATGCTCCCGTCAGTCCTTCTGTGAATTAGTGTTAGTTTGTCTTTCCCCCTTCTTGATCCCCATGGTGCAGGCTGCCCATCCATGGTATTGCTAGGTATGTATCTGTAACTGCTATGGAATATAACTTGGTATTTACCCGTACTTTCTTTGTCCAGCAATGAAAGAATTGTGGAATCAGAAGATGCCTCAACCCATGATGTACAAAGCCAGACAGAGTTGCCTTTAGATGATGATGTTAATGATTCTGCAGAGACTCTTGAAAATAACAAGGAAGAGTGTAACTCTATGTCAGTCCATTCCCAGCCTAAGGCAATGTTACATTGGACTTTGTCTCCAGAGCCAAGTGAAGAAGCTGCCAGTGAGAGTGAACAAGATTTGGATCCTGCAGGTGCTGTATTACCAACACCTGCACTGAGGTCTGAGGAAAACTCTGTTTCAGAGCAAGAACTATATAACTCATTCCATTTCTGGAGGACTCCACTTCCCAAGATAGATATTGATTTAGAGCTTCAGGAACCTGCAGGAATACTTGATTCGGAAACTCAGGAAGGAAAAAAGGAAGTAGTTGTATCAGCTTCTTCAAACATTAGCATGGCTACAAGGAAGGAGTTGGAAGAAATGATAGAAAATTTGGAGCCTCATGTGGATGACCCAGATGTTAAAGGTATTAGCATGTTAATTCCAGGTATGGTTTGAATTGGATGAACAAAAAGTAAAAGCCAGAGACATTACAAAAAGTGGCTTGTTTTGTTTTGTTTATATATGAGGGCCTTAAAATTCTATAGCTAAGTAAATGGGAGAGCAGCTCTGGTGTTTTTGAGGGGGCTCTCCGAAGTGTTCCAGACTGTAACTCTCATAGTCTTTAACTGTTGGTTGTTGACTGGGTCTTTGGGAAGTTGCAGTACTGAACATCTGGAATGATTCTTGCCTTTTTAGAGTCTAATTACATTTGACATTAAAAAATTGTTACAGATATTCACAGCCAGTCTCATAATTTGATTGCCAGCTTGCAGCTTTTGTGTCGATTGTATATGACACAGAATCAGCCTTTATGTTGAATGAAATGGTTGCATTTATTACCTGAAAAATAATTTAGTTAAAACTTGGCACCTGTCAACCTTGATGTATACTTTTGGCATTGTACTTACAGATACAAATAATAGGAATAAGCAGTAGAAATGATATTTAGCTGCTGAATTTGTTATTTATTAGATTTTGTCACTAGCACTTTTTTCCTGCATTATTATTTGTTTGTATAAAGAAATCCCAGATTCTTACAAGTAGTTGGCTCATTGTCCACGTACTCTGATACAGTTAATTTGCATATATCTTTGTCTTCCTCTGGGCACACCTGTTCTCAGGGCTGATTTATAAATCTCTTTTATTTATTATTTATTTTTTTATTTTACCTTGCCTTTCTCCTTGAAAATGAAACCAAGGCAGCTTACAGCAATGAAAGACAATATTTAAAAAATATATTGAAAATCTCTTTTCACCTCTTCTTGGTAGTTTCCTCTGCGAGATGTGTATATATTGACCACAATCCTATTGTAGATTTATGCTAGCATAAACATACAGTGGTGCCTCGCAAGAGGAATGCCTCTCAGGATGAAAAACTTGCAAGACGAAAGGGTCTTGAGATATTTTTCGTTTTGCGAGGCGCGTTTCCCATAGGAATGCATTTAAATTTAATTAATGCATTCATATGGGGGGAAAGTCAGAAACAAACCAAAAAAAGTAAGCAGAAAGTCACTTACCATGTACAGTAGACTGAGCCCAGCTCCTCACAGTGCCTTTGTAGCCCCGGAACAGCCGGAAAAAGAGTGCCAAACAGCTGAGTCAGCAACCAGCAAGGAGGTGGCAGCCATTTTGTGGTCATCTCCACTCCTGCCCCCCCTCCCCGTCTCTCAGCTGATGGGCGCTGGGTCTGAGAGGCTTCCCGAGGCTTGCCTAGCATGGAAAAAGGCGGGGGAAAGCGGGAAATTCCCCCTGGCTTTTTACATGCTGGGCAAGCCCCGGGAGTCTTCTGAAAGCGGCACTTTGCCACAGGCCCCCCCGCTACCCCCCCAGCCAG